ACACACACACACACACACACACACACACACACACACACACACACACACACACACACACACACACACACACTTCAGTCCTATTCTCTCGTTCCAACAGGATTTCCGACCCGAGGCCCGGTGCTCTCAGATATTACCTCCTGGACACTCAGGCCTTCCTGTTATAGGATGGACCTGCTGGTCCTCGGTGACCCGACACCAATAACCCTCTGACAGATTTACTTCCTGTTTTACACCTGGGCCCATCGCACCTGGGCTCCATTAATGGGTTCACCTGCCAGAGAGGTTCAGACATCCTGCACCTCCGGAGGTTCTCTGGGTCGCTGGGACCAGACCCTGGGTCAGACCTGTGGTCTGGGAAAAGCTTGAGATCCTCCAGAGATGGTGGATCTGGAACCTTCTGACCCAGATCAGAGAAGAAAAACTGATGGTTTCAGAGTCCAATGATAAAGTGCTGTTTGTGGGTTTTATCTGTGATGTCCCCACAAACCCAGGTTTAACCAGGTGTGTGTGTGTGTGTGTGTGTGGGGGGGGGGGTTCTGGTGACACTTGGGGGCAATTTTAAGACAAAATGCTCACCTTTGGTGACAACTGGTGTATTTGGGGGACAAAAGTCCCCATTTGGTTTAAATGCCATTGGTGGGTTGGGGGTTGGGTTTAGGACCAAGGTGTGCATTGAGTTTGGTACCTGTGAGGTTAGCCTTAGGGTTTGTTGTCAGGGTTAGGATATAAAATTTCCAAAAAATGAATGGAAGTCAATGGAAAGTCCCCAAAAGGATAGAAATACATAGTAGATGTGTGTCTGTGTGTGTTTGGGTCATAAACTGCTGCATTAAATTCTTGTTGTGTTGTCCAGAGATTAGCAGGCGTGAGCAGACAGATGCTTCAGTGTTTCTGGTTTCTGTCACACAATGATGGGTTTCAGAGAGCTGTGGGAACACACACACACACACACACACACACACACACACACACACACACACACACACACACGTACGTTTTTTTCTTGAACCCAGTGGAGACCTTCCATTGGCTTCCACTCATTATTTGACTTTATATCCTAACCCTGTTTACCCTAAAATTAACCTCACAGGTCTACCTGACCCTAAAACTTATGGAGCTAAATTGGGGTCATAAGGTTTGTTCAAAAATTTAAAAAAAAGTTTGAAACAGAAAAACAATTTTTAAACTGAAAAAAATAATTTTGAAACTGAAAAAAATATTTGAAAGTGAAAAACAACGCATTACAATCTGGAAAAGTTTCAAACATCTTGTCTTTTCAGTTTCAAATTTTTTTTATTTTGAACAAACCTTATGACCCCAATTTAGCTCCATAAAAACTAACCTAAACCTTGGTCTAAACCGAACCCCACACCTGTAATTTGCATTTGGACCTGTGATATGAGTCTGTTTCTTTCTTTCTTTCTTTCTTTCTTTCTTTCTTTCTTTCTTTCTTTCTTTCTTTCTTTCTTTCTTTCTTTCTTTCTTTCTTTCTTTCTTTC